TAATGATTTTTAATGACAATCTTCATATTTCTAACACTTTCATGATTTTTCGGGATGACTTTTTCAAATATATTTTAATTTAATTCATAGCCAATCACTTATTTTTTTTCGCATTTTTAAATTGTATCAGCTCCACAGAATATAATATGGCGTTTGTTATGAACTTGAGAATTTCATACTAAAAAGTTCAACATTAACGATATATGTGTGTATGTATATATATATCTATTTTTTTTCGCTTGGCTCTACAGATCTTGTATATCTTTGGCCGCCTTGACTGCCTATCTTGGGCCACTGCTTTTCAGTTTGCTGCATGAAGCTCAGCCGTATATTTGTTTATACTATCTATCCATCTGGTTTTTGGCATCCCACGTGGTCTCTTGCCTACTACTCTGGCATTCATTGTTGTGTAAAGGCATCCTAATGGATTGCTACGAGCTACATGCCCCGCCCAACTTATCCTCCTTGCCTTCATGTCATGAGATATATACTTACTCAGCCATTGGTGGCCGAAATCTTTTGAAAACAAATAAGAAAACAACATAATAGGTCCATCCATTCAAGAGGTAATCGAGGAAGAAACTCACGGAACAATGACCATAAAACATTTTTTTTTTTTTTAGAACCCGTTGAAAATTAAAAATCTAGTAGATTTGAACTAAATTGAAACATTTTTCTTACCCAAAAAACGGTAACTCAGTGACAATACAGGAGTTGCGCTGCTATCCTTAAGAGCCAAGGCTCGAATCCGTAACAGATAATTATTTATTCTCTTTCTTCAAGCATGGATCCGACTAGGGGGTTGGAAAACTCTCAGGCTCTACAAAGTTGGTATCCTTGTTTTATTAATTGATTAAGAGAAAAAACCTGGCGATTATGCGTGACCTCCACAAATTTTGCCTTTGAAACAGTACATCCTTATGAATTATTGTACCTAAGACCTTTCATGGAAGTACCTAAGACCTTTTTTTTTTCTATAATTGCTAGATAATTACAAATAGAGGAAGAAAAAAAGAGATATAAAAAAAAAAAATAAGAAAAATTAAGATTGCATACAAGTTCTTGTAGCTATAATAATTATTGATTACATATTTTTAGTGGATTACACAAATTAGATTTGTATTCATTATGTATTTCAAAGAAAAACGTTTCTACTATAGAATAATCACATTTTTTTCATATTTGTTTAATTAAATATTTCCTTTATGTAGCCATTTTATTTTCATTTTTTTACATATGTAACAAGAATTCTTTATAACAATAGGGATTCTATCTTCCTCAAAAGTCTTAGCTTGTTATGTGACGTGATACTTGAAACTTTTGCAAGTTTATAATTTGCTATTCCAGTCTAGTTTCTTATTTATTTAGGAAAAGAAATTCGACACTGTATTTATTGAGCTACACTTGAAATTAAGGAAAAGAAATTTCTTCGCGAGAATTAACGAGCTCACAGGGAATTCAGAAAGACGGAGTATTTTCAAAGACGGCTGGAAGGACTTGAAGCCAAAGTAAAGCTTCCTAATTAGTTGTCAGAAGAAAGAAAAATGAAAAGTGGGTCGTTAGGAAATGAGAAAATAATAATTTTCAGATATTCAAGGAGTGGCAATCGTTAATTGACTGATTATAATTTAGATGTGGGTCAGATTTTTTGAGGTCTAGAATGTATCAAAGAGGACATGTAGAACTTACACTAATCAAATTATTCGGTCAAGGGAATTGAAGTTTCTTACAGTATCGAACGTCCAAAATAATCAACTTCATTACCTCTCAGTGAAGCAGAGGGATAGACCGGAATGTTAAGATATGTGAGGATTGTTTTAAGGCTGATCTTTTGTATTGGTTTTGAATGTCATACAGTGGGATGAGCATATATGTTCTTTGGACTTCAGCGTTTAGCTGAAATTTAGTATGCTATTTAGTCATTCTTTATATAAAGGTGTAGATTGTGGATTCGAGTCATTAGATCCACAAGAAGAAAGCAATGGAATATATTAAAAAGATATTACTTTTTTTATCCCTCATTGATTGTTATATCCTATATTTCATTCTGAGATTCACTCTCTCAACTCAAACTTATCTCATCCTCTAACACTACACTTTTTTTTACCAGACGTTTTAAATCACAAACTTCATATGATGACATCTTAATTGATTAACATATTATTATATAGATATACCATCGATCATATGACAGTAGAATTTGTGATGTAATACAAATCTATTAGAACTAGCAAATTTCAACAGCTTAGTCATTACTTTTTTCTTTCAAAAGTAAAATATTATATTTATTAAAATGTTAGTAATATTTTGAACTGTTGCAAAAGATTCTATTCTCATGTTGATTTATTAAAAAAAAAATATGTTCTACAAATAAAATATAATTTGTTATCATTTCTTTAAGTAATATTCATATTAAGTAAGTATTTTATATAAAATAATAAATATTTCATGTATAATAAGTATTTAACGAAAAATAAATATTGCAAAAATATTCTCGTTTGTTATCTACTGATTGCTTCTCATTCATATTTGTAGCTAATATAAATGTTATATAATATAATACAAATTTTAAATTAACGCATTATAGTAAAATATAAATACATAGAATGATATATTTTTAATATTAAAAAGTATTTTCACAACTTTTAACATTAAGAAGTATGTTTTCACAACTTTTGCTTCCTCGCGACTGTAGGTAGGGAAGCATTGTATTCGTGCGGTTAAAAAAAGTTTTGTGCTCAGAATCATAAATTTTTATTGGTGTTTTACGATTCAGACATCAAGGATCAAATTTGGTTCGGCGTCTGTCGGTAGTCAAATTGGGTGACGGTCATATCACCTACTAGCTTTCATCCAATTTTCATGAAGTGTTCAAGGATTGTGTGGGTTGTTGTCTAGATGGTCTCATATCAATTTTATAAAATTCCATCCATCACTTAAGCTTGCGAACGCGTAAATGTATTTTCATAGATATGCCAACATTTCAGAAACGACTCATTCGATTTGGCTCAATGTTGGATAATATATAGGTATTGGTAAAAAACTAATGTAGAGTAAATTTTCTTGATTTCTGTCCACTACTTTCTCTTACATATGCTCAAACGATTTTTCCTTGATTCGTCTATATCTCTAAATCCACACGTTCGATTTGACTCAAATTTGGAGGGAAGTTAGGGATTGCATAACAGATAATTAAGTGATTATCAATTGTATCAAATTCAATTCACTAATCTAAAAAAATACTTCCGCTTTTGGGTCAATAAATGTATTATTTGTCACGCCTACAATCTGAAAACGGCTCGTTCAGTTTGACTAAAATTTGGAGAATATTATAGAAATTGCACAGTATGAATTGCATTGAATTCCATTCAACAATTAAAATTAATATAAATAACTGTTAACAATACAATGTCTGTGAAATATGGAAGTTCCCGACCTTGAACATCAAAGTTGTGAGAACTTCACTCATATTTTTATGTTCCAGCTTAAATTTGTTTTTGTTCTGACTGAAGAAAAATATTGTTCTAAAAATATTCCATTCCTGGAAAAATATTCCTAACGAACAAAAAGTTGAAATTTTTTCCAATGTATTTTTGAATCCATGCATTTTAAGTGAAAACATACCTATTAAGTCTATATCGCAACTGTTAGTGGTAAATGTCTTACGTATAATATTTCAATTTTTTCCAATTTTCAGGGAGGAAGCTATACTGACGTTTTTTCATTGTTTAAAACTAATCTCGTGATTTGTTTATTATATGTTTATAAATTGTTCAATATAGTGCAGTAGGAGTTACTTTGTCAAAAACAATCGATAATAACCCGAAAACGCTAAAAAAATAAATAAATACATAATAGTGATATTCACTCCATTTCCAACATTTTCGTTTAGAATATTAAATCCTCAATTACATTCGGAGCGGTAGACTAGAACAAAATTTAAAAACTGTTTATAGAAGGTCACACCTTTATTACTCATAATGGCTATGCAGTTTTTCGAGCTATTGACGAAACGCGATCAAATTGTTTATAGCTGAAGCATCTAACAAATTTTGTATATTTTTAAATCCTATATTTTTAAAAAGCTATCCTAAAATTCAGAAGAAGTCGCTGATTAGGTCCAACTCATACCATTACGTGTGGGAGGGGAGGGGTATAGGTAAATTAGCTCTCAATATAAAAAAAAAATTCTTTCCTTCAATTATTATGTCGTTTTAAAAGATAATAAACTTGACAACAACATTCAACGTTACTTGGCATTGCGGGAAAATAATTATAGTTTGACTCTATTGCAATCAAACTTCCAAATTTTAACTTTAGTTTTTTCTCTTTGTGTAAGTTCAACTGTACAGCGTTTGGTACTATTGAAAATCATTGGGTTTCCTAACTCATTTATTCTTATATATATTTAGGTTCAAACATTCATTTATGCTTAAAATAGTATGAGCTATTTCATAAAACATTGCTCAGTAATTAGTATGCTAAAGTTATATATGAAATTAGTGAAGTAAAAAAAAACACAGTAATAACAAAATCTTTATTTAAAGTTCATATACAAATTTTCTAGAATCAAATTTTTTATCTCATTTTAACCCCTCATTCCGTTATACTAGTTTTCTATTTGCTAGCTTTTAAACATAAGAATGTACAATTTGTTTGGTTTTTACATCTAAACTATACAGGATTATATCGATGAATTGTATAAATTTTCATTATTAACAGTTTAATAAAATTTTATTTTTATATTTAATTCACTTTTATCTATTTACACTAAAAGTTCTGTAATCTAACATCTTTTAAATATGAACTTTATTTTAAAGAATAACACAAACAGTCATTTTATGAAATAATTCAATAACAAATAACCCATATAGATCAATTTTCTTTCATCCATGATTTATTTCTATACTTCTAATTTTATTTTATTGCAAACAAGTGCTGAACAAATTTACATTATTATATACAACAAAGTATTAAAATTGTTATCAGACACCCACATTTTAGTCTTCGTAATTATCATACTCTTCGTCGTCGTACTCTTCTTCTTCGTTATAGGGAGGTTCTTCATATTCCTCTTCCTCGGAATCATGTTGGTACGACGGCTCGTGTGTTGTCGGCGGTGGTTCATCCTTTTCAACATAAAACGGTACCTTTTTCTCTACAGGAAAAGCGTACGGTTTGGGGACATAAACTGGATAAGGCTTGTCCACCGGTACTTCAACTTTCACTGGGAACTTCTTCTCCACATAGAATGGCACTTTTTTCTCTACAGGCACAGGGATTTTCACAGGCCGTGGTACGTCCACGTACTCCTTGACTGGGATGTATATCTTCTTTTCGACAGGATATGGTACCTGCTTCTCAACATAAAATGGTATCGGTTTGGTCACTTTCACAGGTACGGGGTTGTCAACTGGTATGCGAACAGGTACTGGTATATTCTTATAAATAGGGTACGGTTGTGGAAATGGTACTCTTACCGGTACTGCTATCCTATGCTCGATATGCACTGGGTACGGCCTGGGCACTTCGACGGGTACTGGTCTATTTACTGGAACTTGTACTGGATAAGGCACGCGTTTTTCGACGGTCACTGGAACTGGGTAATGGAATTCTTCTGTCACAACATTCGCCTTGACGAACTGAGGAGGTCGTTCGTTGTTAAAGATACCTCTCTTACCCTGTTTCCTATCTTCTTGTTCAGATTGCTCACCGAACACAGCCCCTACCAGGAGTATGATCAACACACACCACCTCATCTCAAAGCCACACCTCACTAACTGTTTGTTCACGGGCCGGTCTCCTCATTATATACTGGCCTACTGTATATTATATAAGCGTGATATGGTCCATGTTACTACACCCATTCAATAAAGCCATCAATGAAACAGCATAGTCATCATCTCTGGTCATTTTCTTTTATTTTCTCCATATTACGATAGGATATTACAGAAATATCTTAGATTTTATGGGCTGAGTTACCAATAGAATATTTATAATCCAATGTTGAAAACTTACCGTGAGTTTTATCGAACGTTTTCATTTATTATGTAGATAATGTCATTTTCTTAGGATTAAGTCTTAGATACTCAGAATGCGTTCTATCTTGGCGATCTGTGATTTCTGGTGGATTAGAGATCTGTTTGCGTTGCTATCTATTGGTTTCTATATATTACCACTATTAATTATAAGCCACATATATAGCGATCTATAGTTGAAATCGTAGTTAGCCGCAATAAAAGACGTTCTCTATGCAAATAAAATTGCAGAAACCGATAATAGGATTCATTATCTTTAATAATTTCCTTGAAGATAGATATACAACTTTAACTGTTCACCACAAACCCTCTGATTTTCCATTCTTATTAATATTATTTTTAATAATACCATTAAATTACAAAGGATCCGCTGGATTACATAAACTTCTATTACTATTACTAGTACTATTATCTAGAGATGCTATAACTTTAGTAGCAATAGTGACTTCCTCAGAGATAGGTCTCGGTACATTAGTCTCTCTAGGAGGATGGAACAAGAAAATTACCACTTCAGATCCTGCTTTACGATATTGGCCTGGTTACATGTCAGAAATCTTTTGCACTTATGTTGCATTAGGTAGGAATATATTCTAAAGATTTATAATCTTATATTTCACTGGATAAGGTAATTCACAACCTTTAAAATGAGAAATAGTGCTAGCTATTTCTAGAGTTTCATTAATACTATGCAAAGTACCACAACAGAAAAATAGTATTATCACAACAGCCCTAGTTTATTAAACCTGAATGGGAGCAAACTGTCATATAAACAGTCATATCATTATTTTGTCGACTCTCAGATTTTTAAATTATATGTGTCTATTTCTTAATTTATTTAGTTTGGTGCAATTTAATTAATTTTTTAAAAATTGAAATATTCAAACAGATCGATTTTGTGATAGATACGAATAGAGTAGATACAAAATACATAAATCAGAAGAAAGTGATTGTTTTTTCAAACTTCTGCTACAATTCGAATCTGCTTCATCAGAAAAAATTATATTCCAAGGAATTAACAAAAAGGAAAATTAGTTTGAACAACTAAAATATCAAGTGACAACAGAAGTAAAAATTCCATAAAAATAATAAAATAAAACTATAATCCAGCAAAAAACTCTGAATTTAGAATACTAACCTAGTGACTACCCCAAATATCTTCGTGGTGAAATGGGGAATATATATATATTCTGACTGCGCATTTAAATTAAACACAGTTATTTATTTATTTTTTTTACTTTAAATCTTTTTATTGAGAAATAAATACATTTTGCCACTTTTAAGGGCACAGAGTACTAAAGCTGAGTGAGGCCCATTCATACTATATATACAATGCAATAAAAAAATATAATAAAAATAAATAAATAAAAATATATATCTAAATAACAAAGGTAAAAACTATAAAACTAAAGAAATATAACTTGAATTCAAATTAAAAAATAAAATAAAATAATAATAATTATAAAAAAAATAAATACAGAAATTGGTAGCAAATTAAATAAGTCATATGTAAAACAAATAGAAATATAAAAAAGAAAAACATTCATACTTTATTTACAATCAGCCAAGGGAGCTCCGAGTCCAGTCCTTTCCTCCACGTGTGAAGGACAGAGCGAGACTCTAAGAGATCCCAGCGCTTCTCTCTCAGCTGCGTCACCGGCAGGAGTCCAGTGGAAACTGAGAGAGGGCACTAAAGCAACAGATGCTCATGACGTGAGTGGAGAGGCTGGCCATTGCCAGAACTCCAGTGACAGTCTTTACAAAAGGTCTCGAGGCCACTGCCGTTTCAACCTTCAAGGAGGGTTGTAGGGGTGACTGGAGCTGGATAAGGATTGTGCAAAGGAGTTAAAATGGTTGATTAGGTTCAGATGAAAATTTGAGAATCGGGATGGAATAACGTCAAGGACATAAGGGATGTAAACGTCATGATGTAGGGTTTTGTTTGTAACATAATAAGGAGCATTGACTATTACACGGAGGACTTTAGACTGAAAGGATTGGATACGTTTGATGTTCGAAAATTTAGTTGTCCCCCACAGTTCAAGTCCGTAGGTCCAGATGGGTTTGAGTATGGTCTTGTACATTAATAGTTTGTTTTCTATTGAGAGATTGGATTTTCTGTTAAGTAGTCTGTATAGCTGGCCAAATCGTTGGTTAAGTTCTTGTCTTTTAAGTATGGTATGTGGGTTCCAAGTTAGTGTTTTGTCTAAAAGGAATCCAAGATACCGAACTGTGTCTGAGACCGGGAGAGGTACAGAGTTGAAAAGGATATGTGGACAGGATCTACGTCGGAGGGTAAAGGTGACATGCTTGCATTTGGATTCATTTATCTTAATGCGCCAATTGTTGCACCATTGCTCAATCAGGGAGATGTGTCTTTTTAGGTTTAAGGATGCTGTTTCAGGATCTGAGTGGGATGACAGGATGGCGTTATCGTCAGCGAAGGTTGCTAGAAGGGTATCGGGGTTGGTTGGAATGTCAGCGGTGAAGAGGATGAAGAGAACTGGGTCCAACACACTGCCTTGTGGAACACCAGCAAACACAGTTATTTAGAATCCTAATTGACTCAAAAATCATATTATATCATGACTGATGGATGAACTATTATTACTTCGACTTTCAGTATGTTTTGTCCAAATATAACTTCATTGATTCATAAATCCTTTTTAGTTATTCACTACATACTTTGATTTTCAAAAATAATTTTCGTATTCGATAACTTCTAGATTGTATAATGTTCTCAACAACTGAATACTACTGGGTAATCAGTAGTAGTAAAGATGGAAGAATGTTGGAGGTTTCCTTAACATAAAATATTAAAAATGCTTGAATATAACGACAGCATGATTTTAATTTTGTTTGCCTTAACTTAATTATACTGTTGAAGAGATTCGTTATCACCTTTGCATTCACTAGACCAAAGTAATGTCCGTTAGAACCTCACCTTGAAAATTAACTAATATTTTGATTTTTCCTGGACATGAAAGTTCAATAAACAAAAACAATGGTTTTCATTTTAAAGTATGAAAATGGACTAACGTAACATAAATGATTTAAATTTTTTAAATGATTTAAATGATTTTTTTTTATTTCTGCCATACCTCAGTATATTGTATTTTTATGGGCCAGAGGAGAGGGAGGAAGAATAATGCCAGGATGGCCCCAGCAACGGCTTTTGTTTATCAGATTGTTTGAGGTCGTGATGGCCAAGAATTTTAAAGCGTAAACTTCAACATACTAGTATCTATCGACACCCGTTCAAATCCGGTCTGGGTAGGTTGAAATTTATTTCTTGGCGAACTCATAGTTAAAAGCATCCACCCCTCCCCTCTCCCTGGTAGGAGGACGTGAACAAATGTAATTATTTTATCATGTGAACCACCCCGCCACCAGTACAAATCTTGATTATTTATCATCCTCGTAACTTTAAAATATCGGACAACAAATATAGCCGTTTCTAAAAATATGTCTATATGAGACCAATAAGTATCCATTATATATTTTAAACATTTTGAAGTAGTAGTTCGTTTGAAACGATTCGTGAATGAGAAATAGAAATGGATTAATATATATTAAAAGGGAAAATAAATTTTCCATGGATGTTTTTATTGCTCAATAAAAGAATATATACGGTAGCGTCTCTAATTATATAACCATAAATATTAGAGTTAATCATTACTCAGAGTTGATTTATATGTATGGCATTGCAAACAGGAAATATGAGTGATATAGTTTCTTTACGACTAAGGAAATGAAAGAAAAACATAAGCATTCAAAAGACTAGTTGCCAGAAGTGAGATGTACACCATCAGATATATCAACAATCATTTCATTCATTTATTTATTTTGCGATGTTGAGTTATTTATTTGAGCATTAGTCTCGGAGCACATTAGCTCAGGGCTGAGTTACGGTCCATTTTCTATTTGAAGCTGTTGCGGCCGTCGCCAGGAGGTGCCTGGGGACAGGTCGGGACGTGGGTGGCTGTCCCTTCACTGTTTGTCAACTGCCAGTAATAACTTTACGGAACTGTTTGGCTATTAGTGAAATGGTCCCCTAGAACAGAACTACAATGTCACTGTACTCCACAGGAATAGCTTGATTCATAGTGACATTGTGGCCAATATAAATAAACGCGGTACTGTGAGACCACCCTTTTCGTTCTAAGAATATGTAAGATGATTCATATTTTTAATAGAAAATATATCATAAAATAGAGAATACGACCTCCATTTTTCCAAAATGTAATATTTATTCAAACGGGCCACAATCGCTTGCAAATTGTTGCGTCGTATAATGATAATATTTCTTATATGTTAACTAAATTTTTAAAACTATGAAAAACATTTTAATAAGATTACTAAAATTAAATAACAGAAAAAGTTTTGAGTTTTCTTTTGAAACTGTTATGTCATTTACATATATTAAATAGTGAATTATAAGAAATGTAAGCATTTCGTTACAAATATATTTAAGAATTGTTTTATTGTTAGTTTATTGACTGACCAACAGGTAATACCTGATCACCGATTGGGCTTTCGCACATTCCATTCGACGACACATCAATTGCACAGAATTACAGACTACATTGCTAGAGCTTTAGAACAAAAACAATTTGCAACATGAGTATTTTTGGATGTTGCTCAGGCGTTTGATCGAGTCTGGCACCAGAGTTTTCTCTTTAAACTGAAGACTATACTGCCATACACGTACTATCTTATCCTTC